TCACCCCCAACAAAATTTTTCAACCAGGCTAAGGTGCCAAAAATAGTCTGAAAACAGTGGTGGAGACACAGGGTTTCACAGGCTGGCATATGACCCCCCAGAAATAATTTATGACCCCCCAGTTTTGTCCCACCATCAGAAATTTTCTAATAAATTGTCGGGAAATTTGTGAGTAGGAAAAATAGCAATGATTTCAGCTTTTGATTTGAACTGATTATTTTGTTGTATTGGATTTTGTCTTGGATCATACATGTAAACAGTAACGTACTGGTCAGTAGAGTAAAGTAGAGGTAGAGCACGTATGAAAATTTAGCTACAGCTAACCATTCAGCATAGGGTGAATCAGGGTTATTGGTGTGACATTTGAGCGGACCGCCCCGGGTGACGTTTACTCTAGCTACGCCACTGACAATTCCATTGTTGAACTAAATTTTATAATAAAAAAAATCTAAGACAAAATATGAAGTGAAAAACAATGTAAAACAGAATTACGATTCTAAGGATTTAGAAAAATGCACACTATTCTTCAACTGTTAAAGTAATACATTACGTCACAGATATGATTTTCTTAAAAAATAAAATAAAACACATTTGTATATTTCCTTCTTCTCTCTGAGATTATATATTAGAGGGAAAGTGCAAATTTGTAAACAGTGACTGCTACTGCTGATAATGCAAAGCTCTTCTATGAATTGAGCACTCCAAGTCACTGGTGTTTTTATTAAAAAATAAATACATAAAAATTCACTTTCCTCTCTGCTGGGAGTTGATAGCTTAGGGGGAAAAAAATCTTCAACTGATACCAAATCAGTTGAGTTTCAATCCTGGTTTGAAGCCACCTCCAGAATTAGAATGGGATGAAGTTGACAGAAGAATGAAAAAAAAAAAAAAAAAAAAAAAAAATTTTTTAAATCTCTTAGAGTCAATGAAAAAAAAGATTGTAATCAATTATCAAACTTATACTTTGATAAACTTTTGTAACAAATGCCAAAAGTTTATGCTGCAGTAACAAAGGCTAAAGGAGGATATTTTAATGAGAGCAAAATTTAATTATAAAATGCTTTTTCATCAGAATAAAATTTTTAATAAAAAAAATCACGTCTCCCTTTTTAAACATTTATAATAATAATTTTCTCTTATTTAAATTACAAAATAACTACTTTTTGGGGTCAATTTAAAAAATTACCAGGATTTTCTACAAATTTTTGAACTGTAGTGTATATCTATAAGTGGGCATGTATAGAGAACATTATGATTCTGACCCTGAGGCCTGGGTTCAAATCATACCATAGTTTTGTCAAGAAGGTGACTTCTGGATAATATTAGCATAGGAAAATGATCTCAGCATGTGACTGTAAAGAAATGCCTGAAATCAATATCACAGTCTGACCAAAGAGTTGTGAGTGAAATTGGATGGATAATATTTTTCATAAGTCATCAATGGTTGTCGTAGTACAAATCACAAGTCATTGTGATCAAGGGTTTGGGTGTATTGGCCCTGTTGATCATACACCATCTCTGAGAAACTGTAACTAATGTCCACTTAACAGAGTATAAACCACAAGTTGGCTCTGTGGTGTTGAATAAACACAAATGTGCCTGAGCAGGCATCATCAACAGAAATTGGTTAGCCCCACACCCTCCTAGTAAACAGACATACTCAGAAACGAGCAGCCAGTCACAGATATAAGATAGATTAAGTGGACATAGGAATAAAGAATTTCATAGTGACTGTCACTGACTTCAATATGATCTTCAGACAAACTAAAGATTGTGTTGAAGCATGATATCAAGTGTCACCATGCAATATTAACTCTTACATCTACACTGTAAAAGCACTATCTCCAATATTGAATAATCTTTTGCAATAAATAAAGCACATTTTAAAACATAAGTATATTTGACAATATATGGCATATATGACAAATTAGGTTTTAATGGTTTATCAACGTTTTGTTGGTTATTTAAAGATGAAACAGTTTGGATTGTAAGAATATTTTTTTTTTTGCAAGTGCTTATTGCATTAATAAATTTTTGAGAATAACAATGGTTTTTTACAGATACAAGTTCCATTATTTAACCCATATTTGGGAGGAGCAGATGAATTTATATCTTTCCCAAGGGTATTTGTGCAAAAGTGAATCAAATGATCAGACTGAAATTCAAACCTAATTTTGGTGGTGTAAAAATAATCATGATTGAATTTTGGCACAATTACATTTGAACACAGTATACAGTTGCAATCATGTGCATTATTGCCCACTGACGTTACTCCTACTCCTTTATGCTTTTTCTTTTGTAATTCTCTGTACTAAGAAACAATATTTTTGGGAGGTAGAGAAAAGTTTAAAAATATCTGAGTTTCATTTGAGAAAGTTTTAGCATAAAATCTGAATGTTGTCTATTGAACATTATTGTTGCGTATTGAACTATAGCAAAGTGGAAAAAGTTTTCAACTGATGCATTTCATCCTTTAGAACTTCATTGGGCTAAAGTATTGTTTACACTGATGATACTACACATGCACAAAGGAAAAGAGATGCTGAGAATTTTAGATCAATTTTTAAAAAATGTTTTTGGTATACAGTCTAGATTTCATTTAGTATCTTTTTCTTTTTATCACTTTAATTAAATATCCCACATTGATCTGCCAAGAAAGGTGAACTGTTGTAAGAAGCTGGATGCAGACCAATGCATTTAATGAGTTGTTTTGTAAAAGATCTCTTTTGTGTTTATATAATCTTTTATTTAAATTTATTGAGGTTTCCTCTATGCATTACTTGTGACAATTATTACAGGTGATAGAAAAAATTCCTGCTTCAAGCTTTAGCTTATTATTTTGTTTTGTATTAATTCTTTTATTGTAACAAATTTTATGTTGAGTGTCGATAAATGTTTTTCCACTTGTAGTTGTGATACAGTTGGTGGGTAGAATAAAATGTTTTGATACGTTGAGTTCGTCAAGAAGGACCACTTTTCTATTTTGAAATATTTTATGTGCCTTTTATTTCATAATGAATATTAAATAGAGTATTGGAGCTGCTTAAAAGTATTTTCAATGTATTTCTCCTCTTTGTGTAAATATTGAGGGCTACAAATTCTGAGTGTTCTTAAATAGAATCCAATGATTATTTTGAATTTTACTTTGTTGCTATGATGAGAATAAAAAATTATGAGATCATTTTTATTAGTTGATTTGTGATGGACACTAAGTTTTAGGTTATTGTTAATGCAGTGTAACATGATAACAAGGAAAGGTAAAGCATTGTCCGTTTCCATTTTCTCTCGTATTTTCAACTTTGCTTAGTTTATCTACAAGGTCAGGTAAATCTGTTCTAATTTAGATTTAAATTATTCAGTGTTGTTCTCTTTCCTTTGTGCATATGTGTAGTTACATCAATATAAACATGTTTAGTTCAATGAAGTCTTAAAGGACAAAACGCAACACACAAAAACTCATCCCATTTTGTCAGTTTTTCCTTTTACATATATATATTATATAAAATGAAAATGTATTGTAAATGATTTCACTAGAGAAATCCATTGGAAATCAAGGAAAAAGGATTGTCAGTGGTTAGAAATTAAGTCAAGCATTATTACTAAGAATTACAACCTTCCAACTAGGCTTATTAGGTATAATAGGAAGGTAGTTTTATAACAGGACATTATTTAGTTTCCAAACAATTTTTTAATGTCTATTTAAAATGTTTTTGTTCAGTAGTGAATTAAAATGATCTGAAATATTGAGATCATATATATATATATATATATAAAAAGAGAAAATTATAAACTGGATTTCTTGATTTCCAACCTTATGTCATCCTTTTCTAATTTCCTACATACCAAGGTGCAAGAATCAGGTTATGAAACTAAATGTCAAAGTGTACTCATTCTATTTGATTCCAAATCTTTTATTTTTAATGTTAAGAAAGGAAAAGGAAACAGATTTTTTTTCTTACTTTACTAAAAATATTTGTAGTTTGGGGGGGGACAAATTTCAAAGTAAATTATTGAAATGAGATACAATTTCTAAACCATTGTGATTGTCTTAAAAATGTCCTTTCAACTTATCAGTGAAAAAAAATCTGCTCAAAAGTAGAATTTTTAAAAGTTTCTATTTTTGTTACAAACTGACAATTTACTTCATTGACATACTGAAGTTTTTTCTTTTTCCATTTTCTAATATTTTCATTTTCCTTGAGAGCTTTCATATCCTGTTTCTAAATACTTCTTATGGCTGATTTTTTTTTTTAATTATCAAAGCAGTAAATTACAAATTTTCATATGAACTTACTTTCATCAGACATTACGTACATATCTCAAACTATACAGAAGGATAACTTTAAAATATTATTCTTCTATGTCATTTCAGGATGTGGGCAATCATGGTTCTCCATAATTTCCTGTTCTTTTGTACCTCTTAGTAAAGTTTGTCTTTTTGCTATCTCTTCTAATCCCTGTTCTGCCAACCATTTACACACACTCTTTAAATAGGTTAAGCACTGTTTTCCACTATCATTTTTGTGATGCTAGTCCTGTGAGTGTCAAATTTTCTAAACCCTCTCTCCCTATAAATTTCAACTCTTTCTGATGGTAATGATTTAGGTGGCATAATATAATGGTATAAGTGTCCTTTTTGTTTCAATTTTCTTTAAAATTTCATCATTGCTCACATAGGAACATAATATATCCATAAGCATGTACAAACTAAGATAGTATTATATGATTGCTTTATTATTTTTTATGGTTTATCAACTTTTGTAACTTATTTAAAGCCAGAAAATATACTTACATTGTAAGATTTTGTTTCTGGCAATAATAATGATTTAGTGACCAAAGTCCTACTAATTATCTGATAGCTTTAGTGGAGATGAGGTGGTTTTATCCTTTCCCAAGTGTATTTGCATGTAAGTGAATATAATGAACCTGACCAGAATTGGAACTCGCACTCTGATTTCCAATTGCAAGCTGTCATCCATTATACCACTTGCACATTCAGGTATGCACCACCTGGTATTCCCAACCAGTCGACCATCTAGGTACTAACCAGGCTCGACATTGCTTAACTTCAGGGATCATACGAGAAATGGTGTTTCAACGTGATATGGCTCTAAGCCAGTATTATATAAAATATATTTTGTCAAGATTTTAAAAAAAAAAAAAAAAAAAAAAAAAAAATATATTAATTACATACACATAACTTATAAGATGACAGAAAATAGGTAAACACATCTTTTTATCCAGACAAACACCATGAGTAAGTTTGAATTTCAAACGATAGCCAGACTAATTTAACACTTTAGTGCACATTGATCCACTAGTAGAGCATTTTAAAACATTTTTAAATACCAAACAAGTATTAATTTTGATTATTTTATTTTTATACCCTGGTTTGATTGGTTTGTTTTATAGCATATCAACATGAATGGGTTATTTAATGTCGACAAGATTTTTATTGCTGGTAATATTTTTTTTTTTCAAAAATCTATTGCTGGTAATACTTTTTTTTTTTTTTTTTTAAAAAAAATCTATTGTAATATTTTTTCTTCAAAATGTATCACTGGCAATATTTAAAAAAAAAAAAAAAAAAAAATGTATAGCTGGTAATTTTTTGTTTTTTGAAATGTATAGCTGGTAATTTTTTGTTTTTTATTAATATATATCTGGTAATAATTTTTCCCTTCAAAAATTCATTGCTGGTAATAATATTTTTACAAAGTATTTCTGGTATCAAAACCTATTTTTGCACTTTCATAGTGTTTTACCCCAGTATGGGGTTAACTACTTGCTCATAACTGGGACTAACAGTTGCTACCACCCCCTGGTCAGGGTGGACCTGGGAACACCAGCAATCAAGAGGTGGTTCCACACTCCTCAAAACCTCCTGATCAGAGGCCTTGCTGTTGGACATAGTTTATCATTTTACCCATGACGCGGACGTAGTTTATCATCATACCCAGGACAGACCATGGTTGGAACAAATCATAAGGTTTTATGTATGTATTTGTTTAATTTTTCATTATATATTTACATTTATAGACATTTTTAAAAAAATTTGCTGTAATGGCAACAAAACTGGAAGTTAATATCCAACAGATTTTATGATTTGGTGATTGGTGCTATTATAATGTAACAAAAGGTAAACATGTTAACATTAACTGTTCCATTTATCGGTCTAATTCTGACATAGGGGATATCAACCTGTGCAAATATCGGAACAGGGATGCTAGAAAAGAAAGAGTTTTAAAAAAATACACTATGCTTGAGATAGTTTGGAATATGTTATGTTGGGTTTATAATTCATGAGAAATTGGTATGAAGAACTATTCAGTCAAGTGGGTTCTAAAATGTTTGCATGCTGACCAAAAACGATTTTTCAGTAGAAACACCAAGTTGATATTCCAACATTTCACCAATCTAGTGAAAACTTTATTTTTGGAATGACTTGTCACTATTTTTATTGTGATCAGGCAACAGTCTACACAGTGATGGTACTCTGGTTCTCTCCAGCTAAATAAAATTCAAAAATTAGTAAGAAAGGTCAAAGTTAAGCATTTTGGTGATAAAGACGTTTTTTGATGACACACTAAGGGAAAGATTAAACAATTACCACAGAATATTACTAATTTGTCATTTTAATTAAAAGAAGTTGTGTAAACCTGTTCTCTTTGTGCAGGGCAATGATGGATATTTTGAAGAATTTGGGCTTTCGTATCAGATCTTGCTCCATCTATTTCCTGTTTCTGAACCTTAAAGCCAGATTGAAAGGGAGAACATTTCCAAATGATTCTGAGGTAATAGCAACAGCATGGTAGTATTTTTTCTAATCAAATTCACTCCAAGCAAGGCAGTATAGCCACTAAGATACAAGGGGTTACTGGGTGTGAAAGAATTAGAAAACAAATATTACTAAGGATTGAGAACAATAAAAGTGTGATCAGGAAGACAGTAGATAATGATTGGCATTGCAATTAAACTTTTGAAGATCAAAGTTGGCTGAAAAGCATGGAGCTGGAAAGGATTTCCACAAGTGAAAAATGTGAGAAATGAAATTTAGCATAAAAATTTCAGTTACATCTAGCCAAGCCAACTATAAATGATGAGACCTTGTTGCTAATCTAGTACTGCACTTAAATTCATGACATCTAGGTACCATAGTGAAGACCTCATCCAAACAATTACCAGGAAAGTATTTATAGAAAAGGCAGAGGGAAGCAACTTTACCACAGTTAGAAAGTGATTGAAGCCGAGATGCCAGGTCAGGACCAATAATATTGCTGATTCTTTGAATTTCATCAAGAATCTCTAGACATAGTAAACCAACTTTTTTAGCAGCAGACCTAGCATTGGATTCCATATAGTCTTTCCACTTCATGTCAACCAAGAAAGTTAGCCCGAGATAGGAGTCATCCTCCTAGAATTTAGCATTCGACATGCTAATGGAAGTCAAGAAGGGGTCTCTCAGATGATTAATTGTCAAGCCACTCTTTGGCCCAGTTAACAACAGACTGTAGGTTGTATTTTTAATGACCAAAGTTAATTTTCTGAAGTGTTTAAGACAAAAATCGAGAAATATGCTAATTGTGTTAATCTTCAGAGTGAATATGTGGAAGATCCCATATGTTTCAAATCTCTAGGTTAATGTTTATCAAACTTGGATAAAAATTGGGTTTTGTTTTAGGTAATGTGTGCGAGACTTGATCTATTTAACAAGGGAAAACTTGAGGCGACAAAAATATGGTTCTACAGAATGATACTGAGAATATCATGGACTAAACAGGTGAGCAATGAGAAAGTTTAAAAAAAAAATGGAAACGAAAAGGACACTTATACTTAACATCAGAAAGAGACGGTTTACAGGGTACATAATTGACACTCGCAGAACACACTGAAAGCAAGAGAGACAAAGGAAAACAGTGTGTAACCTACCTAACATTACTAACATTTCTTTTTAGAACAGGAAATTGTAGAGAGCCACGATCGCCAACGTCATGCGGTGGCATGACACATAGAAGAAGAAACGATAAAACAAAAGTAAAATAGGTAAATAATGAAAATAATTTACCTAAGAATTAAGATAAATTGAGACTTTTGTTGTAGGGTTACATGTGGCCTAGTTATTAATGGCCCAGAGTAAAGTTGACGAACCACGTTCAAATTCCGGTAAGACAGTTTGTATTCACGTTTTAGCCTTGAGAAAAGCATGGAGTTTCAATGATACTATAACTAATCATGTATAATTCGATTGAGGCTTCGACTAGCTTGGACTGGCTCCGGCCTGGACTTGCTAGGACAAGTCATGACCAGCTTTGACTAGGCTCTGACCAGCTTGGACAAGCTATGACCAGTTTTGGACCAGTGGCCTTTGAGTGGAAACACTCGGGTCTCCCACGTTAAACGACCTTGTGTCACATCTTGACTTTGTGGGTGTCAAGTAAATACCAATCATGTATAATTACGCACCTCTGATTTCAGACTACGAGATTATGGGGAAATTTTCGTTTCTGGAATAATACTAACTTTTTAGCACATGTAAGCATCTAAATTTAACACCATGCTTTTAAGAATTTATATAGTTTAAGTGATGTTTTGAAACAAAATTTACAGACCGCATTCACCACCCAAACCTTTTTGTTACATGTGCATAGACAATGGAAGCCTCGTAGAGCATTTCTGAAATGGCAAAGTAGTTAAAAAAAAATTGCTGTATCACAAATGCACTGGCCAACATTGAGGGTGACATTCTTTTGGAGGATGAACAAGATTATGCCGTGGACAACTAAAACATCCAATACACTAACAGCATAGAGGAAATGTCTATCTTTGACATGGACAGCAGTAAGCAAAGAATGTGTTTGATATCTATAGGGTGGATGGAAAGTAATAATTAATACGGACCACTATCTTCAGATGGAAGAGGCACGGATTGAGGAATCGGAGAGGCGAGTTCGAATTCCAGTCGAATCTATTACATTTAATACGTGCTAGTACCCTTGGGAAAGGTATGAATCCTCGTCTTCTCCCCCACTATGAGTAAATAGCAGGACAGACCGGGTTCTATAGCCTTGGATGACAACTGGTCTACCGCAGAAAGAAATAGTAACTTACTCCGGGAAAAAAAAAAATCTGCTGCGTCAGTCATGTATCGAAAGATACATGATCACCTAAACGTGTATCACACATGGCACATAACTGATCTTCAGATGCTTGAAAATTACGTGTGAACCACGGTGTCTGGTTGGAGTAACATTGGTAACCTGATATTCATGCAGGATGGTGCACTACCCACTTTTACTCTTACTGTGCGTGCTTGGTTAGACCAAGATTTTCCAGGACGTAGGGTAGGATGACGCAAACCTCATGAATAGCCTTCAAAAAGTCCAGAGCTCACTTCATGTGATTTTTGCCTGTAGGGTCATGCAAAAGAGGTGTACAAGACACAACCTCGAACACCGAAGTCATGGATTCGGAAGGTTCTCAATGATATCCCAGACAACGTCCTTCAGAAGGTTTTTCATTCCATCCTTGGCCGTTTGAGGGAACTGTTTTTACGCCATCGGTGCTTACGTTGAAATATGAAGATTTACTTTCATTTTTCCATGTAATAAAGAACATATATCATTTGTTTCAATAAAGTTGTAATAGGAATATGGATTCTATTACCAATTTTTAATGCATACTTACTTTTCATTCACTCTGTATATAAATCGTTTTCTTAAACAAATGCAGTGTTTAATTTGGGTTTTAAACTTTTTCAAATACATTAATTAGGTTGAACGTTAATTTCGGTTGTATGAATAATATAGATTTGAGCTTAAATAGCAGGAAAAATCTGCATGTTTACACGAATGAAGGAGGTAGTAAATAAAAAAATTTGGCATGGATAATCGAGTAATTAATGCAGAAGTCAGTAGTCAAAAGAGACATCAGCGCTAGAAATGTTCCAAAGATATGAAATGTGAGTTCGCACCTTGTCAAAGACGATTTCTGATTTAAACTGCTAAGCTTAACACTCATAGAGTGTAAATATTGTAGGTGGAAAGAAGCAACAATATGATGAGAGGAAAACTAGTCAAAGATTTGTCTCAGAGTTACAATGACCCGCACTTT